TAAAGATGCTATTTTTAAATTATTTAAATTAGAATGATAGTGAAACATTTAGTATTTTCATTTTTATTACTTCGTAGGTAATTCTTAATAAATATTCTATAAGTAATTACATTTTTTATATGTCGTTACTCTTAGATAATTACCCTATCTTTTGAATACAATTTGAATATAACTATTAGAAGACATTTACTTATGAGAGTCTTGATAACTATTATTTTCCTTGGGAATTTATGGAAGTTCTTTTTAACAAGTTTAATTGTATTATTACTTCATGAACAGCGCATTTTATCTTTTTAAATTTTTCATGTTTAAATAAATTTTTTAAAAAATTTAATTTTTTTATGTATTGAGCTTTTTTAGTATTGAATGAAATATATTAGATATTCATTTAATTCATGGACATTAGGTGATTAAGCAAAATTTTTATTGTGAAAAGATTATTAAAAATTCATTTCTTCAGTGTTGTAAAATATATAGTTATAGTTTTTACTTTTATACTACATGATTTATTTAGCGGTCATGAGCGCTACGATTCGTCTCGAGGCCATAGCAATTATTGTATAAAAAAAATATAAATATTAAAATACTAGTATTTTCAGTGTGTACGCAGTATGCTTGACGAAGCTATAACTGAATGAACATTCAAAATATTGTCGTAGTTTAGTTAATAATGAAATGTTATTTCGCAACTGTTTCGTGTCCTTTGGCAAAAAATTAAGAACATGCACATTGCATATAGCTCCTAATCAATAATGTTATATACAAATACACGACATTAATGTTGTATAATTCGCAAAAAAAGAAAGTATTAAAGTGATCATGTGCTATCGTCACGATACTTTGATGTGACATTAAACACAAAAAGGAAGAGTTGAAAAAGACAATATAAAACGTTTAAAAAATACCAAATACTATGTTGGTTGTTTTGTACACTATGGAAGATTTCACTTTATTGTGAGTGCGACAAAGACTAGACAGCGGGTGTATTTAACAGAGTCGGTTATTTAATTTTAATGCATATACGCAATGCTGCACTTCCTACAGTGACGTTATCGGTATTTCACCTTCACAACATGGGTGTTCTTACTGACAGGGTTATAAGGGATAGAACCCCCTCCACGATGAAAATAAATAGATGTATTTTGAAGGGCGTAGTAAAAAATATCTTATGTCTATATCTCCCATGAAAAAATCCTTATGCGCCGCTCTGCTTCGCAATGCTGCCAAAATTTCCCGAATTAATTGTTCTAGTTATCCGTTTTAAAGTGCACAATGGACCAACAGGTCTGATTGCGTGGGCATTATGTCCACCTCACTAAAAACTATCCGTTTCAAATATCAATTATAAAAAAAATTGTTGGTGAATTATTGTACTTTGTGATGATTAGTGGTGTATATGTTTGTTATTGTTAATCCATTTTTTTTACTGAAACAATACAAACATAAAAAGTACTACCTACCTATAGTTTAATTATGACATCTCATTAGCGAGTTAAACTATTCTATTACGTGTTACTAATTATGTGAATTTTAATTATCTAATTACTTATTATTTGTATGTGGCACCCTGTTGTTTTTCGGTCATGGACATAAAATACTATTAATTTTAATTTCTTACCCCATCACGATCATTATGAATGCTAGCATGTTTATTTCAATTATTAAAATGGAGTGTTCGAAATATTTCATTGAAATATAATTTCTTTAACCATAATAATTTTTCTATCGATATCTTGTATTTCTAGTGCAGTTGACCGAGTTATTTTAAAATGGATCATTGCACTAGGGACCTCAATAGGATAAACATATACATGTATAGTTATCATATACTTACATTAAAGCAAGTATCACGCGAAATATAATATTAAACAAAAAATAGTTTCTATATATTTACACCAAACGTTGATATTTTGCTCATGTTATTAGTTTACTAGTTGATATCGAGTGGCAGTTTGTGTTTCGTGTCTCATAGAGCGTTGCTTATCCTTCTAATAATACGAGTACTCATTTAAGAATTACGTGGGAAATGGGAAGAAGAGAATTAAAAAAAAAATGAAAAATGATTTATACCTCACGAAATTTATTGAAAATTGTTGCCAAATCTGTTTTATATCTCATTCAACAACTGGCCAAGTATTAAGGCAATACGAATAAAGGAGCAATGTTGTTCATGAAAATAAGTTTAAAGCTTATGAAGTAAAGAAAAAGCAAACTTAGACATAATGTAGATTATATGAATTGGAGGATTTTTTTTAAAAGACGAGGTTAAAACTTGGCGATTTTTCACAGTTAGATTTTTGTTGAGGATTGTTTTTACTTCACCATTTTTAAAAGTAATGACCATCACTAAGAACTTACTGATAGCAAATCAAATGTATGTTTTGTTTTCTTGTAAAACACTGATGTGACGTTTTCTCCGCATGTTAACTATGACAGTTCCCACCCATTTGTAGTCTCATATGGGATTTGTCTACTGTTGTTGCGTAAACTGACTAGATGACCTCATTTGAAATAATACGAAACCACTTTGTTTGTAGTATTCTCTTTATTTATATTTTCTAAGAAATAATTAATTTTTTTAGGTGAACAATATTATTAAACAAACATATATTTATAAAGGGTGATTTCTTTGGATAAGCCACTCGATTTTACTTAATAGTTTTGTTAAGAAAATTCTTTTTGGTTTTTTTTGTTTTTTATAATTCACGATCTATCAATTATAAAATATTTTATTAATTCTTTCCTTATACCTTTTAAGGATGTCAACTTTTTTTGTTATGGCAACACATACTTAATTAGCTTACATAATAAAAAAATGGTTTATTTAAGAAAATGACTGGTCGATAATAACTTTTGGATCAATATTTCAAAAGTTATTAATAATTTAAAGCATTGACTGGTGGTGGAGAGTGAGTTTTGCTATTTTTATCACTAGTCATCTCCCGGCTGTACTCTTCCATCCGCCTAGTTATAAAAATAAGAATAACTTTCGAAATACTGGTCCAAAAGTTGTTATCGACCAGTCATCATCATCTTAATCAGATTATTTTCTATTTTATAAGTTAGTTAAATATGTATGTTACTGTAAAAAAAAAATTTGACACATCTTTTGACCTCTAATACTTTGGAAGTTATTAACATTTTGAAATATAGAGTGGAGGGAGAGCGCCTTATTACTCTATGATAAAAGTAATGTAATACACACCTCACCTGCACTCTATATTTTAAAAAAATGGTTATAACTTCTGCAACAACGTCTATGTGTTAATAGTCTTTATCGACCAGTAATTTTCTTGTTTAATATCACTTTATATTTTATAAGCGAGTTAAGTATGTATGTGGTTGTTAAAAATATGAATTATAAGGTACAAGAAATGAGTTTAAAAAAATTTAAATAAAATTAAATAATTTTTTTGAAATATTATTAAATTTATAATTTAAGAGAAATCGAGTCGCTAATATTAAAAGATTCAATCTCTGTATATAATGTTATTATAACGTCATAAAAACAGTATAATAACATTGTTAAAAATAATGTTATTAGGAATATGCAGAGTGTCTAATCGCTATTTACTAATTTGACTATAGAAACTAGAATAATGTATATTTTTCTTAAAATTGTATCGTTCAAACAAATTTAAAAATAAAAATTTTTGTTTTTATTAAGTTTTAATTGTATTAAATTTTGGTTGGGTTATTGATATTAAAACTACAGTAAAGAAGAATTGTATATATTACATGTTAATTTTTACTGTGATTTTAATGTCAACATTTATATTTAAGTAGAATTAATAGTGACGTCATAAATTGTTATAATGAATTATTGTGAATTACAATTAGCTTCTAACTCATGCTCCACTTCCGTTAAAAAAAATTTAGGTGAACTTGTTTTTATTGTTTCAAGACAGGTTTGTTTTGATATTCATTATTGTCATTCTTTATTTTCAAAAGTATAAAATAAACTATTTTCTTTGTTTATTCTCTTTATTTTCGTTTAGAGTTTAATTTTTTATGCTTGAACTTATGTAAAACTGTAATAAAAATGTAATAATAGACTATTCATCAGTGACGTATTTAGACGTTTAATATGGAGGTTCAGACAACTCTGAGAATGTAGAGAAACGAGAAGTTTTATTTTAATGTTACGAAGAAGATCCGAATCCCAAAGACGCCCCCTAAATAAGTCCCTGCTAACTATGTGAAAAGTCTAATAATATTAAATTTCATTGATGATTAAGTCGAATTTAATAATGTTGAAAAATGCCTTGAAAAAACACAATGTTATTTCTTAACAGTACTTGTATTTTTTTTAATGAACTTAGGAAACTGATAAATGTTTATAAAAATATATTTACAGGTAAAAAAAGTTTTCCTATCTTAACGGTATTTATAGTACGTGGATTATGTATAATAGTCGTCGTGTTCCGGATGTCATTAAGTCTACATTATTTTTTACTAGTCAGTAAAGTAAAAACAATATCTGAAAAAATATGGAAATTAAATATGGATTAAACGTAGGTCCATAGTCGGCTTGGAATATAGATCTATAGTTGAACAGCTTAAATAATAACCAAAACATTATATGGAAAATACGTGACATGTTGTAAACTCTCGTTTGTTTCCGGTGAATGTTAATGCTGCGATTTTTTTACAGCTAAATAATAGCTGTATCAATAACGGAATATTGATTTAATATGTTAATAATTGAGGCTACTAAGAACGCAACATTTAAGTAATGTCTCTCATTTAACGAAAATATTTTTATATTCTACATTAATTGCTGTTTATTTCTTAATGATTATTTACTGTTAACTACACGTCATTAATATGAACAATGGTATCTTACTGTTAAATGTTAGTTATTATATTTAAAAAAATTATAATCAGATTTATGCTTTATAGATCACTTTATTTATTTTTACTTTTCAAAAGATGTCTTCATGTTAAACTTGATTCAATAAGATTTTTTGCTTTGAATTATATCAATATTTATTTTGCAGGCAGAACGCGACAGTTTGATAGTTTCTCATCATGAAATGGAAAGACATATGATTACTAAAGACCTGGAGTTACATGAAAAAGAGGAAGAGATGTTTTTACAGTTAGAGAAAGTAATCAGGCTTGAAGAGGATTGTGAAAAATTACGCATGGAAAAAGATAAAATGGTCAAGTGGAAAGATCGTTTGGAAAGGGAGAAAAATGAAGCATATAAACAACTGAGATTACAAGCCGAGTCGTCTGAAATCACTCGTCGAAATTTGGAAAGGGCTCGTTTAGATGCTTATAAACAATTTTCGGAAATTTCTGCTGAAAAAGATACTCTAGAGAGAGAAGTATGATAACCGGTTTTAACTAAATTATGCTCGTTTGATAGACATGCAAGTTATTCTAAATATGTAATTATTTTTAGAATTCTAGGCTTAAAGAAATATTGGAGGATCTTGGTAGAAAAGCAGATTTGTATCATACTAATAGTAGACAAGCAAATCAAAAAGCCAAACGTGTATCAGGTTTAGAGCGTGAGGTGAACGAGCTAAAACTTATGGCCAAACAGTCTGCATCACTAAATAGTCAATTGCAAAAGGGTATGAAACATTTAGCCACATGTAGACGTAAGAAATGTTCAGTTTGTTCCTACACAAGAGCTACATTTGGTGGTTATACAACAAATGAGTAAGTAATCTAACTTTAATAGAGTTTAAATTACAAAATTTAACATTAACATGTATTATATATGATTTTTAGAGACAAAAGTTCCAAATTAATAGGTGGATGTTTTCCTTTAGATGAGTTTCGTCGCTCAGCATCCCGCATGTCTACTACAGATATTGAATTTGAATGTGCAAAATTGGCTGAACGCTTATCTGCTTGTTCCTTCCCTCATACACCACCATCAACACCTGAAAGATCTATAAACAGTGGTTCTTTAACACGTTTTGTATCTTATATTGATGATGCGTTTTCTTCAGAGAGTGAGAATGAAGAAGTTGGTGCCAAATGTAGTAATAGACGTCAGTTTTCTTCTGACTCTGGAATTTCATCCTCTACTGCTACTCCAACTGATCCAAATAAAATGCCTTGTACTGATAGAGGTGCATTTAATCGCTCAGTTAAATGGACTTCTTCATTCAGAAAACTGATTAGACGAGTATCTTCAAAAAAAATCAATACCAATGAGTCTTAAAATGATCAAAATATTTATATTTAAGTTTTTTCCTCTGTTTAATTTTAAGTTGTTAGATTAACTTATGTGTTGATTCTAATGATGATACTTATAACAAAGTCTTAATTTTGTTGAGCTGTTTTTTGTATATTAAAGTTATATTTACTTGACGGTTGTGTTTTAATACTTATGCAAAGTTTAGGTGCTTACATTTTATCAAAAGTACAGTATATTATATTATTTTTAAATACTTGTTTTTAAGCTTCTGATTACAGTATTAATATTTTTAATTGTTATTATAAACAATATAACCCATATTATATGGGTTATAAACATAACTTGTCATTCGTTATGAGTTCTTCACTTATTATCTATTAAATTTACTATGCTTGTTGGCTTTTTGATGATATATTATCATTTTTTTTTTACAATTTATTAATTATTTATTTAAATATTTTTACTATTGGTACTATTCACTGTGTATTAAAGTAAAATATTGTTAAAAAGACATTAGATGTAATTTTATATATTATTGATAGATATCATTGTGATGTAGATTTTATTAATATTCATTAATATTAAAAATATAGCACTTAAAAATATCAGATTTTTAATAATAGACCAAAATTTTATTGTATAAATCATTTATACTATACAAATTTTCTCAATTATAAATGATTTTCAAAAAAATGATTTTTATTTGTAAAAAAATTCTCATAAACATCTAAAAAAGTATTCTTCATGGTAATTTAAGACCACTTAAAAATATAAGAATATTCTGTAGAATTTTTGATATTAAATGTATGTAAAAATCAAAATACTATGAAAATAATTATAATTATAGATTTAGTAATTATATATTAAATAATTAATAACTAAAAATGTGCAGAAGTTCAACACATATTAAAAATACATTATTTGATATTAATAAATTTCATTTGATTTATGAATTAGATGTAATGTTATTATTAATTAACTTAAACCAAGAGAAGTATAACTAAGTTATGATAAGTATTAAATCTGAAAACTTGAAAATATTATGGAAGCCTCAAAGAAAAATGAATTTAAAAATAAATTCACAGTAAATGTTTTATCAATATTTCAACTTCATTTTAAATTTAGTTATGATGACATTTTTTTAAACAAACATATTAAGTATATTGCTATTGTTGTACACAAAGTAAGCAAGTGATTATAATTGTTTTTCCTTTTGCTTAAATAATTAAAAAATTTTGAAAAAAAAAGTATGATAGGTTAATCTTATAGAATTCAAAATGTTTAGGCAAAATTTTTATATTAAAAGTATAGTAAGTAAAATTATTTACTTTTGTAGTTGAATACTTTTTACATATGAAAATGTTTTGGAGATAATGCTTCTTTTAAAGAAGTGTTAAATTAAAACTTATATTACATACTATAAGTTAAAAAAAAAANTTCTTTTAAAGAAGTGTTAAATTAAAACTTATATTACATACTATAAGTTAAAAAAAAAAAAAAATTGTTCTGATGTTTTATTTTTTATGTGCAATTGGCTGTCATAGTTAAAAAGATGTTATTTTTGTGTTAAAGTTTTTGATTTTATATTGTCAATTTTAAATTACTATAGTTTTTTGAAAAATGTATGGATCAACACAATTGTTTTTCTGTAACATTTATGTAATGTTATTAAAAACTTATACCTCTTTCATCAGAGATACTTTTTTTTTTAATCGGACAATTATCCTTTATACAGGAGGCGTTTAATTCTTGAAACATACGTATGAAAAGTAGAACATTTTCAACTTAACTTTTTAACATGTTTTGGGATTACCACAAGTATTGAACATATGTTAATTTAAAGCTTATATTACGTACTATAAGTCAAAAAAAAATTGTCTTTACGAACTATCTTTTATGTGCTAATGGCTGCCGTAGTTAAAAAACGTACTATTACTGTGTTCAAATTTTTTTTTTGTTTAATTTATTTTAAAATACTTTATAAGGTTTGTCATCGTAATAAGGCCACCGATTTTTTAAAAGTCGAATCTAACTTACATTGATTATAAATTTAAACTTATTTTAAATTTTTTGTTTCCTCTAAGAAAAACGAATTTGACTTTTTTAACTAACTTAAATTGTACTTTTTACCTATCGATTTACGTTTTATATTATGTTAATTATTAACAGTTTAAGACAAGTATCACAGATTTAATAAATTGAATTTATTACAATAATTGTAACTAGTGATGGGATATATCGAATAGAAACTATCGAACTATTCGATAGTTGTCCACTATTCGAACTATTTGATAGTCATTCAAAAAATATTCGAATAGTAAAAATATTCTATAGTTACACAATATATTCGAATAGTTTTTAAAACTATTCGATAGTCTATTCGAATAGTCTATGCCAAAAATAAACTATTCGGTTGTATAAAAACTATTCGAATAGTTATTCGATAGTTTGTTGACACTTAATAAGTTTTATTTAAATAAATGTATATATGCTAATATATTTATTTATTTAGCAATCAATAAAATAATTTGTAATCAGATTTTAAGTTCATTCGCTGAGAACTACTTATTTTTATTGTTCATTTTATTTAAGTATATACACTTTAAACAAAAACGGGTTAATAAATAAATTAAACTGATGTTGATGAATTCCAGGTACATATTTATATTTATTTAACCAGTGCTTGATTTGGGAAAAATAAATAGAGTTGCTGTGCTAAGTCTTAAAAAAAGTGTTTTTGCTTTAATTGTAATTGTTTAGAAATAACCTCATCTAGTCATAATGTTTTTTAGTGTTTTTACTTAATTGAATTGAATTGAATCGAAGCATTTCTTATTATAATGATTTGAAAACTGTCAGACATCATTTATACTTACTGTGCTAATATTTTTTAGCTTCGATGCGAAGCTGAGAAGGTATTGGTTTTACTATGATGTGTTTTTTTTTTTTTTGTGTCTGTTACCACTTTTTCTCAGCTCTCACCGAACCGATTTCTTTCAATGATACGTCAAAAGATCACAAATTGTATGTAGTCGAAGACATTACCCTCAAAAATTGAAAAAAATTCCCTCGTTCCCCGTAAATGGGGGAAACCTCCAAAAAAATTACAAATTTAAAAATCACTAATTTTCGAAATTTTTTCAATTTTTTTTACTTAAAAGTGCCATAACTTTTTTAAAAATAAACATATCAATATAATTTTTTTTTATATAGATGCATAATATCATTACCTTTTATTTGGTATATTTTTTTTTATAAATTTAACCCTTAACCTGCCCACAAGGGGGGATTTAAAATGACAACTTTTTCAAAAAAAATTAACTTTTTCAACTTAACTTTTGAAAATGTTCCGGAAGGTCTGACACTTTTATATATATCTTAAATTGAAGCTAATGTAATGTTCTTTATTATGCAAAAAAAAAATTTTGGACTTTATTTTATCTTCATGGTGAAAATGGCTACCGAATGCTATTTTTGTGTGAAAATTTTCGATTTTGTATTTTACATTTTTAACTTTATTATGCTATAACTTTTTGAAAAATGTATGGATCAGTACAATTTTTTCATGAGGAGTAGTATTTATATACATCTTTCATTTGACATACTGTTTTTTTAAATCGGACCATTTCCCTATATACGAGGGGGGTTCAAATCTAAAAAATGCATGTAAAAAGTAGAACTTTTTCAACTTAAATTTTGAAAGTGTTCCGGAAGGTCTGACACTTTTATATATATCTTAAATTAAAGCTAATGTAATATACTTTATTATGGTAAAAAAAAATTTCGGACTTTATTTTATCTTCATGGTGAAAACAGACATCAAAGTTTATAAAAAAAATACGATTTTTGTAAAAAAATTCTTTTTTATATTTTTAACTTTATAATGCTATAACTTTTTGAAAGATGTATGGATCAATATAAATTTTTTTTTATAGATGCATGATGTCTTTACCTATCATTTGGTATATATTTTTTTTATATCTGACCCTTTACCTGCCCACAGGGGGGGATTTAAAATGACAACTTTTTCACAAAAAATTTACTTTTTCAACTTAAATTTTGAAACTGTTCCGGAAAGTCTGACACTTTTATTTATATCTTAAATTAAAGTTAATGTAATCTACTTTATTATGCGAAAAAAAAATTTCGGACTTTATTTTATCTTCACGGTGAAAATGGCTACCAAATGCTATTATTATGTGAAAATTCTCGATTTTATTTTTTACATTTTTAACTTTATAATGCTATGACATATTTAAAAGTGTATGGATCAACATTATTTTTTTATAAGAAATAATATTTTTTAATAATCCCTTTTTGATTCGACATACTTTATCTTAATTAGGATATTAATAATGAACTAGCAGATCATGTAGCTTTTGGAATAATCCACCAATTTTTTAAAATTAAACACTATCTAAAGATTTGCATCGAAGCGTTTTTTTTTGATAGTGATTTTGATCACTGTCAGATATCATTATACTTGATCCATCTATGCCACGTCACCACTGTGCCGCGACCCCCCTGTGCTGGGTTTTTTTTAAAAATATTTTTCTTAAACATGTGAATGAGCCATTAAAATTGTTGTGATTGCAGATTTATTTATACTAATAATGAATAAAGAACAACACAATTTGGTTAGGTATAACTTATAATATATTTTAAATCAATATACACAGGAAATGCAAAAACAGTGTCAGGATGATGTTCCGTAAGGAAGTTGAAAAATCAATATTAATATATTTTTGCATCGCCGGACCGGTTCGCGACACCTGTCGGACGAGAAGAGGCAGCTAAGTCGCAGTCGCCATCTAGCGGTAAACTCAGAAGTGAACTCCGACCGCGTCAAAATTATATTTTCAGGTTTTTTTTAGTCATCTTAGTATAAGGAAAATAAAAACTACTTTTCTAAACATTTAAGAACCAAATTTATGAATTTTTTATGTTTTAAAGTAAAGTTATTTTTTTATGCATTACATTAACTAATTAAAGGATCTATGACCCTCTTTTTCACAAATCATTTAATATTTTAAAGCAAAAAAAACCCACCACAGTAGGGATGTAGCATAGTTGGGTCAAGTATTATGATATCTGACAGTGATCAAAATCACTATCATAAAAAACGCTTCGATGCAAATCTGTAGATAGTGTTTAATTTTAAAAAATTGGTGGATTATTTCAAAAGCTACATGATCTCCTATTTCCTCATTTATATCCTAATTATAAGTCTTATGATTTATAAGTGTAATATATGAATAAATAAATATCTATTAAATATGTATTTATAATATATAAATATATAAAGGGTAATGGTGTTATTTAAAAAAAAGTATGTCGAATGAAAGAGGCATATAAATATTATTTCTCATAAAAAGATTGTATTAATCCATACACTTTTTAATAAGTTATAGCATTATAAAGTTAAAAATGTAAAATATAAAATCGACAATTTTCACACAAAAATAGCATTCGGTAACTATTTTCACCGTGAAGAAAAAATAAAGTCCGAAAATTTTATTTCTATAATACAGTATATTACCTTATCTTTAATTTAAGATATGTATAAAAGTGTC